TTCTAGGAGTTGAAGTCCACTCATCTTAAAGTGGCCAAGTTTGGACAACACTGCCTTAGGCATTGGAAAACCACCTCATACTTACTAGATCCCAGAGGTGTAGACCAGTTGCATGGACTGGTAGATCTTTAGGAAAGGTTGATAACCTAGAAGAGAAAACATGGGCCAGATGGATCAGACTGGGAGAACCTTTATTTTCTCCAGAAAATAAAGAAATGATGCAAACAGATTTTTTTTTATCACAGAAATGGAGAAGCAATAAAGGACACACATTCATAATAAGTCATATATTTGCTAGAGAAAGATGGGCACATGTCTCCATTCCAAACAGAATTATGATTGTATGTATCCGAAGGTGTATGTCCCAATGTCTCTGATGATTAGATTCTTAATTACAGCCTAAGCACCATGGTCCCCACGTGCACAACATGACATTTTCAGATACATGATCCTTTCTTTGAGTCTCTTTGGTATGAGGAGGAGGGAAGGGGAAACACTGTCAGGCTTTCAAGAGTCTAATAGAAGCGAATATGTGTAGCTCAGGGTTGAACTGTGGAGTCTTTGAGGTTCTCTGAGCTTGGTTGTTTTCTTGAAGATGTTTCCTTACCCAGCTAGGTAACATCTTCAGTGCTAGGAGGGAGTGGGTTTTGGTCTTTGTTTTGTATACAGTAGCTTGCCCTGTCAGTGTTAACACTGATAGTGTTATAGGGCAAGCTACTGTAAACAAACAGAGGCCAAAACCCACTCCCTCCTAGCACTGAACACTGAAGAATGTTACCTAGCCAGGTAATGAAATGCCTGCAAGAAAGCAACCAAGCTCAGAGGACCCCAAAGACTCCACATTTCAAGATTCAGTTACTACAGCCTGAATCAGTAAACTAAAGCTCTAGCATTTCTTGTGGGGTCTGTTTCCTACATTTAAGGGCTGATAAGCACTGAGTTTAAAAGGAGGAGGAAACATGCCCACTTCATGTTTTCCTGTCCCCTTAAAATCCAGCCCTTGGATCAGGAGCGCTACGTTTAAAGAGAGGATCCCAGACAATTGGGACAGGGATCCCTGTTGGGACAGGGATTTACTTTCTTCCTCTCTTAGGTGGTGTGGAAAAGAGCCCTAAGTCAAGGATCTATGATGAAAATTCTATTAGAAAGTGGCATATTTTTTTCTTGTCCAACCCTAGCCTCCCCCCACCCCTTAAGTTTATTCATAAGGCAGACTGCACAAGTTCGTTTCTCATTTAAGGGCTGCTGGTATTATGAAGTTTGAGAATCCCTGCCCTATGGATGCCAAACGTTTTGGTCCGTGTAAACATTTGTGCCACATTTTTGCAGTTTGGAGGCATAAGCACGCATGTTCTGCGTGCACACATCTGGCTCAGATTCTGAAAGGAGTGGGGTATGAGGAATATTTTATGAATATTGTTTTGCAGCCCTGTGACACTTACCTCCTCCAGCCTCAAAAGTAGGAATGGCTGGGAGCAGGACATGGTGCAGAAAAAGTGTATTGCTGTTCATCTTGATTGTGCCTGAGAGAAGCCCACTGAAATAATGAATATACCTGCCACAGAGAAATGAAAGAGAAAGAGATCATCCATGGGACATGTAAAATTAAACGGGTCTGTAGGAAGCTAACTACCTTGATACCGACATCTTCTCTTTTGCTAAGCTTCCTCAGCCCGGTGCTTTCAAAGTTCAACTTTCCTAAATTCCGTCCATACAGGCAAATGGCCAGTTGCAAAGTTTTAATCCCTTTACACTTATTGGTTTCATCCTATAATCAAATATGCTGAATCTTTAAACTGGAACTTTACTTAGTAGCATGAAACATTTCTGTATTTACTATAATGTTATTAGAAAAAAAAGAAAATCTTAATATGTATGAGGCAACATCTCTCTACTACCAACACATAATAACAGACATTAAAATGCTGGTTATCAGGTAAGAGCTGGAGGGTAAAATGAGTTACACAAAAGCCAATGGGATCCATGGGCGGGGGGTGGGGGGCAAGGTGGCTTAGACTGATGTCAGGAGTGTGGTGTCATGATGCAAGCTGCCCCACACCTTTTCTATGGGCATTACAACATTGCATACATGCTCAAAGGGCAAGGTTTGTGGCATGACACTGCAACACAGCTTTCATCCATCTGATTAAAGAAGAGTTCCTGTGGATGCTGTTGACAGAAGCCATGAAAATGGCAACACTCGTTCTTGTCTTCCACTCTTGTACAACCCAATTTATTTTCAAAGCTTCAGCTATGCTGGCTAGGAAATTTGAAAACTCAAACTATCTGAAAGGCACCTGTTTCTTAACGAGAAGCTTCATTTCTTTGTTCCTCCAAGGTGGGGAGCCTGTGTGCTCTGGGTCACGTGAAGGATAATTTCACTTTCTGCAGTTCCAGATAATGAAATAGTTCCCAAAGAAGAAAGAATGGGCACATGACAGAAGTGCCTCTTTGGCTACCACTGTTCCACTGCTTGTAGCATTGTGGTCTAAAAGTTGGTATCCTACTTCCAACCCCCATAGCTCCTTGGAGAAAGCATACCAATTATGGGCAGCCAGTGCATTGAAAAATTAAATAAACTTTTAAAGAAATACTACACAAACAATTCAATCATATTCTGGCATATCCATTGTTCCTCTGCCAGCACATTCCTCTTCTGAAAACTGCTGAGCTTGAGAAGAAGTGAAGCACAGGATTTATTTTTGGTATAGTCTATACTAGGGTTATAGGTCTGGGGTACAAACATCCGGGTGACCGCTAGAGGCCAGCAAAGAGATACAGAAAATGGTCTTTGCTATCTTTGCAACCCAGACTTAATACCTCTATGCGACACATAAGATCTGGCTATCTAGCACATCCCTTCCATTTCTTTTCCCAAGCATTTCTCCCAGCACACCCTACTGAAGCTTCAGAAGCCTCCTTCTTCAGAACGTCTGCATCTGATAGACATTTTGGAGAAAAAGCAGAGAGTTACTGGCAGGACAGGGTAGAGGGTGCAAGGTTCACCTCTTCTGGGATGGCTGGAGGGAAGCAGCTACTTTGTCTTCACAGAACTTGCGCATGGTCAGTGTGCTGAGGGCCTGGTCTGCACTAAGGAGAGAAGACAAGGAAGGGGCATACAGTTGCATTTATACATTGACAGGGGATACAACAGACATGTTACAGCTAGATTCTGCCCACCAAAAAGAAGCAAGCTGGAAAATGAGATTGAGGAAGGAAAGGAAAGGAAAGGAAAGGAAAGGAAAGGAAAGGAAAGGAAAGGAAAGGAAAGGAAAGG